AGCCACCACTGAATTCCGATCTCATTCGATAGTACAATTTCAGTGCCTCATAAACAGATCCATTTTGAGAATATCCACTAATTATTGAGTTCTGCGCGATCACATTCTTATCTGAAAAATTCTCAACTAAATAATTTGCATCTCCTATTCTACGATGCTTTGCATACATGTCCACTAGAGCATTGGTCACATTAGCATCATCTAATCCAAGCTTAATAGCTTGACTATGAACTGACGCACCCAACTTCAGATTGGGTGATTGTGCACAAGCTGAAAGAATGCTAGCCAAGGTAACTGAATTCAGCATAACACCTTGCCATGTCTTGTCTGTAAACAACAGCAGTGCATCTTCTGCATAGCCACTCAGGGCATAACCAATGATCATGACAGTCCATGAAACAAGATCAATAATGGAGAGCTCATTAAAAATCAAACTGGCTTCTCTAATTGTGCTACACTTCACATACATATCCACAAGAGCAGTAACTAAGTATGAGTTCACCTCAATCCCATTCTTGATCACGTACCCATGCACCCACTTCCCCTGATGCAAAGCCCCTAACTTTGCACATGTTATCAATACACTCCCAAAAGTGTACTCATTTCCTTCGGCCAAGCCATCTCACATCTGGTTAAACAAAACTAACCCTTCTTGAGCACAATCATTCTGAACATACCCAGCAATGATTGATGTCCAACAAACTACGTTTCTATTCAGAATCCTATCAAAAACTTTGCGAGCAGTTTCAGTATCACGGCACTTAGTATACATATCAACAAGGCCAATCAATACAAAACTATCAGGTATCCCTACCTTAATTATATAACCATGCAATTTCCTCCCTTCACTAAAATTCCTCGACTCACTGCACGCCTTCAACACGATAGAAAACACAGTGTTATCCAATACAATAAAAGTCCTCATAAACTCATAAAACCCAATAATCTCATCAAACAAAGCATTCATAAAGTACCATCTAATCATCAATTTATAGGAAGCAAAATCTGGGCTTGGAAAGATTTAAAAGGTGGAAAAACAGATTTAATTGAATTGAGTGGATTGAATCAAGTGTTGATTCAAGATTAGTGGAATTCATTACTGAAGTTAAGGTTCTGGATTCATAAATGGTTCTTGAAATTGCGAAACGGGGGATATTTCTATGCAAAAATGAGATGAGCTTCATTATTTTGTTCATTTTACATCTCATTTGTATTAGTTTTTGGTTTTGTTGGGTA